TGATGCAGGAACTTTGTCCTTAGAATTTGAAAATGAAGTTATTAAGTTTAACATTTTTGAAGCAATGAAGTTTCCTGATCAACTCAATCAAGTTTTTACATTAGACATCATTGATGAAATGGCACAAGATGTTTTTCAATTATCAAATCAGGATGAGCTTTTGAGTGTGGTGTCCAATAGTCTGGATCCTGAATCCTTGCAACTCTCTCCATACACTGTAAATTTAGAGATTCATAAATATGTTAAAATGCTATCTGAGGTTAAAACTGTTTCTTTAACTCATACTCTGGAGCTGCCTAAAAATGTACCTAGACAGTTGCCCACTCTTGTCCAACCACCTGAATTGGATTTGAAACCTCTACCCGTAAAAGGTGAGGAAACGGGTGCGCTCCTCCTCGGAATCAAACCAAAGGTATGACCCGTCGCCATAGTAGAGGCGCTCCTCGGAGGATGATGTAGGCGCCCGGGATTTGGACTTTGATTTCCCGGAAGTGCCTGCCCTGCTCTTGTCTTTGCCCATAGTGAAGAAATCTCAAAAAATTAGAGTAGAGAGGATGAAATAGGTGAAGATATTGAAGGAATATGTGTTTGTGTGTGTAAAAGTGAGGAGAGGGGGTCCCAATTTATAGAAAAGGTGGTCTCCAACGTCCAGATTTTCAAAAATATGGCTGTTGGAGAAATTAATGCTGCTGCCAACGGATATTTTTTTTGAAAAATTTGACCTGAACAACGATGTTCTATAGGCGACATAGCTGTTGAGATAGCGCTGGTAGAATGCTTAACAGCGCTGTTGTGCGTTAAATTTTTTTTTAAAATAAGTGTGAAAGGGACAGCGATGTTGAAAAGTACCCTACAGCGATGTTCCAAAAGTTTCTGGAATTGTGTAAGGGTGTAAACCCATTAGGACAGTGCTGTTGGGTTATCCTACATCGCTGTTATGGGATTGGAAAAAAATTTGTAAAAATGGACATCGATGTTGAAGGTAAGACATCGCTGTTAAAAAAGTTTCTGGTTTTGGTTGAAAACAAAAGTTTTGGGAAGACAGCGATGTTTAAAAGGAAACATCGATGTTCAAAAAGTTTCTGGAAAGTGAAGATTGAAGGGACTTCCTGGGACAGCGCTGTTGGCTTGATGGACAGCGCTGTTGGAAAACTTTCTGGTTGACGGTGTTTCCCTCAACAGCGCTGTTGTGTCTCCTGGACAACACTGTTTGTATGGTTCCCCCTGATTTCATGAACGGGGTACCTGCAAAAAAGAAAAAGTTCTCCGACGCTCAAGTTAGTAAATGTTTAAAAAATTTAGATGCACAACTTAGATCATCGTGGAGTCAAGGATTCCGAGTTCACTTCGAATGCGGAAGAACGACTCTTTCTCTAAAGGTTTTGTGAAAATGTCGGCTAATTGGTTGTGTGTTTCACCAAACTCAATTTCGACATCACCTTTGAGAACATGATCTCTAATGAAATGATGCCTAATGTCAATGTGTTTCGTCCTTGAGTGAAGAACGGGGTTCTTCGTCAAGCCTATGGCGCTAGTATTATCACAACGAAGAGGAACGTGATTGATACTAAGGCCATAGTCCACGAGTTGTTGCTTCATCCAAAGGATTTGAGCACAACAACTACCGGCGGCTACATACTCCGCTTCGGTTGTGGATAACGCAACACTGACTTGTTTCTTGCTAAACCATGAGACTAAGGAACTACCAAGTAAGTGGCAAGTC